GGAGAACTCGCTGTGCTTGAAGTCAATGCTCTGGAAGGAGGACCTGGCGCTCAGGCAGTAGTTGCCGCTGAGCGCGGTCGTGTCGAGTTTCATCGGTTTCTTCCTAAAAATACTTTCGTATCGCTTCTGTTTGGAAACAAGAAGAACAGAGGGTTGCACTCAAGAGCCTTGCAATATTTGGGCAGTGTGTCTGTCCCCACGAGCCTCTCCAGCCCCTAGATCCAATCCCTCCCTTCCCTGGAATAGATCCAATCCCTCCCTTCCCTGGAATGTGCATCCCGAGAAGTGCCACTTTCACTGACCTTCTTTCCAGATCCAGCTTCCCAAAGGTCCAAGTCGTACATCCAGTGGAAACTCTCCACGCAGGCGGCCACAGGGAAGGAGACGTTCACAAGGATGAAGGTCTCCTTTATGCGCACAGCCAGCACCGGGGGACCCAGCTCCACTGCAGGCAGGAGAGCAGACACACAAACAGTGCTTGCTTGGCTCTTAGCTTCAGAAAAGTAACACTTTTCTTTGCCTGATGTTTGGAAAATAAAACAAGTGCTTCCCAGGGTATTAACCTGGGAGAAACATCAGCCCAGTGAAACCGCTTTGTTTCTGATAGTCCCAGGGGGTCTTGTTTAAAGCAAGCCCAGTTATCCCCAGAGGGCACCGTGCAGGGTGCAGCATCTGCTGCCTTTTCACATAGCAGCCTGGGCATCTTTCTCACTCAATGGCAAAGACTCACTGGCTCTCCGGCAATGTGCATTGCACAAGTGCTATATATAATACAGAGGAGGGCTAAAGTATTAAAATGAGGGTTTACAGTTGTGTTTAAATGAAGCGCTATGTTCCTGATCCTACAAAGCAGGGAGAGAGAAGCCTCATGGGCGACCACATCATCCCGTGCCTGATCTGTTGGCTGACAGCAGCCACCTTTCTCGCAGTCCTCAACAGCCTCCCCCTTGCTAAAAACCCAGTTTTCAGGATGAGCTTTCCTTGAAAGCCTGTGAACTTTAAAGCACTCACCATCCAGGTGGTATTCCTTGAATTCCGATTCTACCCATCGCGACTGGAGCCCTCTGGAAATGGCTTTGACTCGAGCCCGGAATTTAATGAAGAAGTCTGGAAGTGCGCAGGTCAGGTTGCAAGAAGTGCTGGGAATATTTTTGCAATGAGGGACCTTTATCCATTTGCCCATGCGATCCTGGCTAAAAGAGGAAAACAGAGCCCATATGATAGTGAACAAATACTTTAGTTATAAACTGTAGAGCAAGAAAAGAAGGTGTTTTGTAGGATGGCACCAAATCTGCCTCAAATTTCAGCGAGGAAGTATCTTCCCAGACAGGTAAGGATTGGGTTGGGCAAAGGGATGCAGCCAGATCACTAATGAGGGTGACATTAATTAATACACATCCCCAGTGTCCCGTTTTCTTGCTGTGTGAACACTTACCTCTCACATCTCACTGTGTACGTCACGTCTGGCGGGGATCCTTCTCCTGGCATCCACGTCAAAATCATATCAAAATCCTTTGATAACAGCGTAACATTTTGAGGAGGGGGAAGATGAGCATCACCTGATTGAAAGGTAATATTATGTGAACGATCGGGCTTTGCTTTGGGGAAATACCACCTAGTTTTGACCCAGCTGGCTTCAAAGCTGAGGACACAGCAGCTCATTCATTTAATCCTGGAAGTAGGTGCTGGAAACAAGGACATTTGCTGCACGCAGAAGGCAGCATGCAGGCCTGCTCCTCCTTCTGTCCAGCACCTATTATGATGGATAAACACATAAAACTGTAGCCTTCAGTGAGACATTTCCCACAGACAGGTTTCAAAGGCCATTTCCTTAGAGAGTATTTCTCTTCGCAGGAGCCATTGCCACGTGTGCTGCTCAGAGCCTCCCTGCGTGCGTCTCCCGCCAGCCAAGCCACGCGGAGCAGCGGCGGGAGCGAATCCGTACCTCGGAGGGGCCGCAGGAAGCACAGCGCCGTCAGGACCCGGATCCTCCAGGTGTCCATGCTGAAGCAGAGCCGTCCTGGTAAGCAGCCTGTGACCTCGGCAATATGTTTTTTCCTCGCTACCTTTTCACCATCGTGTTTCACTGTGTTCGGCTGTCACCGGGAGGACCACGCGACACCAAACTGCGCACGCAGAGCTGCACTTCCTGGAACAGCCCCAATACGCAGCGGAGCTCCTGGCGAAACCGAAATGTCCTCAGGGTTGCAGCACTGCGCCCTCCTGTGAGATGTAACACGGCTCTGGCGCGGTGGCGGGCGAAGGGGACCCGGGAACACCTCTCCTGTGAGGTGCTTGTTAAAAACTGACCTTCGGAATTGGCCTGTGTGGTGGTAAAATATTAATAGAAGGCAAATAAAGTCTGGAGGTAATCCAGCAATAATAAGAAATAACAGCTAGTAGAACACAGTCCTGAAATAGACTTTGAGAGATGCAAAGGAATTTCTTTTGATTTAAGAATAATTGAGAGATTATTCTTGGTTTAAAAATAATCTCATTAAGAATATTTATCAGTCGTTATATAATTGCCTCCCACTTTATAATGGGGGAAGCAAAGTGCCAAGCTGTGACCAGGATCTGCCCCGGACACAGCGTGTGGCAATGGGAAGACGTGGCCCCTTCTGATAAACCCTGTGCTTCTGTGGATGCCAGTGCCTGTTTCTCCTGATACTTCAGCTATTGTTTATCAGTTATTTCTCATCACTCCCCAAATATCAGTGAACATCAGGGCCAGTTGTTAAGACTCTTCATTCGCCAACACATGGGTGGTTCTGGGCTGCGGTTACCAGCTGATGAGCGCGTTGGTTGGTGGCTTTGGCATTTGCCCTTAGGAAACTCGCAGGGGGTTCTGCCTTCAGCACTCAGTGCTTTTGAATCACAGAGTTCTCCCGAGGGAAAGCTCAGTGCCTGTGTTGCTGCTTGCTGGGTCTTCCCTGCATGGAAACTTCATCCCAGGAAAAGCAGGCGGGGAGGCGGGAGCCACGAGGTGTCGCTGCCTTTCAAACAAACCCGCTAATTCCTGCAAGATCCCGGTGCACCTCCCGAAACCTGGCAAGCCTGTTAGAACTCCTGCCGCCTCTGCGGTGCCCAGCGCCCTCCTGCGCCGGGGCCTGCATGCGTATTGGCAAAGGACACTTGGAAATTCTCCACTCACCATTTTCTGAAGAAAGATTTTTTAACATTTTCTATAGGACGAAAGTCATCCTTTCTTAGCAGCTCCTGTTGCCTTGGTTGGGTGGGATCAACAGGAATGTGGAGCACAGAAACAGCCTCCGCCAGCCCCAGAGCGGAGGCTGCTCCTGCCCATCCTGCAGCTCCTTCCTGGAGGGGCAGCTGCTCCCTGCGGCCCAACAGGGAAGGGGATTCTCTCCTGCTGCTTTTTCTCTTCCTGCCTTTTCCTCTCCCTGGCCCCACAGGCTGCTGCAGGGAGTCTCTGGTTTCAGGAGCTGGTGGAAATTCTTCTGGGAGGCTTAGGAGAGCAGAAGGGTGGAAACAACAGGATGGCCGAAGAAAAGATCCCTGCTATTGGGAATGTAGAGGTTAAAAAGACTGCAGAGTTTAGCAGTGCTAGATGATAAAATGTGGCAGTGTCCCCTTGACCCAGACAGGCATCTGGGCAGCCTGTCACCAAGGGAAGAGAAGAGAAGGGCTCTGGCTTTTTTTGTTGTTGTTTAAACTGAGTCTGAAAAGACTTAAAATGAAAAGCAAAAACAAAAACATAAGATGTTCCCCGTACAAGGGCTATAAATCATTTCATGACCTTTATTTTTGCTCCTAGGGTAGGGTTTTAAAGGAATCCAAGCCTTGTCTGTCCAGGGCAGCCGTAGCTGGCGCAGCGTCTCCCCGCGGGTCACGATATAAGAGGTGCATGTGCTCGGAGCCTCCTCCATGCCAGGGGAAGGCAGAAACCCTCAAAGACACCCGGACGGGGGCTCTGGGATTGCCTGTGTCATAGTTTCATTCAACCATCGTACCCCGGCAGGTCGCAAGTTAAACGGATCTCATTTAAAGTCAGAATTACATGGAAAGGGACCTAGTTTGGATGTGAGACCAGGGCTCTCCCTTCCCCTCGTGTCCTGGGCAGTGTGGCAGGAGTGCGGGATGCTCTTTAGCCAGTGGCCTCAAGTCCGCGGCTCGTTTTATTCTGCCTCTCTCCCTTTCCTTGCAGCCTGTCCCTTCCCCTTTCCAGGGCCCTCCTGCTGAAAGGCCTTGCAGAGCCTGCCTGGACATGCAGGAACGGTGAAACTCCAGTGCACACAGAGTAAAACAGCCCACAAGCTGCAGATAGAAAAACACGGGAACGTCCTGGGGGCACCGTGCCTCCCGAAACCCCTTGCTCTCCCTGATCAGCGTGGGAAAAGCGGTGGGGACCCTGCGTGTTCCAACAGAGACTTAATTCCAGCAAGCCGCCCGCTGCCGTCTGCAAGGCAAGTTCTGCTCTTGGGGGCATCCCACAGCCTTGTCCCTCTTCAAGACCGTGTCCTCGGTGGTGCCCTGCTGTCACCCATCCTGCTGCCAGGGCTTTGCTCCTGGGCCGGGGCAGCAGGATGGAGCTGGCTGGGAAACAGGGGTCCGGGGGTATCCACCTGCCTGCTCGGAGCAGGAGATGAGCTGTGTGTTGGGGATGTGCAGGGCGGAATTCCGGGTGGATTTGCCCGCACCCAGGCCAAGACTGCTGGATGTGATTCCCCTGCAGCCGCTGGTGGCAGCAGCTGAGCTTCCTGCTGCGAGGGCAGCCTTTCTTGGAGCGTTTGCAATGTTTTGCATTGCACTATTTGGATGCCAAAGCTATACAGTGCCATAAAAGTTAATTAACCAGATAACTAATTAAAGGCTTCTCCCTCTTATTGTTGCCAACTTGCAATTCAGAAAGGGGCTTGTGTCAAAGTAAATCCAGCCACACACCCCGGTGAAAGGAGCGATAACCATTCCAGGTGCCATTAACCATTCAGGGACTGGTGCGGGAAAATCCCCTCGCTGTCTGCGGGAGGAAGGTCCTTGTCCTCCTCTTCCTCCTCCTCACACGGCACCAGCGCAGCCGACAGGGCTGTTACAGTCTGGGCCTGAAGCCAGAGGGCAGGATTCGTAGGTGCCCAGAGACATCGAGGGTGGCAGAGTCCTCTTGGGGGTGACATGTCCCTGAGGAGCTCGCTGACCTGCCTGCAGCACGGAGGGTGACAAGTGGTGGCAAAACTACTCTGCTGCTCCAGAAAAGGTCTCCGTGTGCTGTGGGAATCACCTGGATGGGGGGAATCTCTCTGGACAAGCAGGTGCTGATAGTCCCTGAGGCTGTTTTTATTTTTCCATGGCTCACCGCATGGAAGATTGGTAACGTTTTAAAGAAAGAGTCAGCAGTGACGCATCGTTCACACGGGCCAAGTTTATCAGCAGTGTCACAGGGTGCCCGATTGCCCCAGCAGTGCCCGACCTGCTGGTTCCAGGGGTCATTTTGGTCCTAGAGGACATTCAGTGAGAGCGGGCAGGGCAGAAGAGCCAAATGAGATTCAGACTCCTCGGCCTGGCCACCAGCCAAGGGACGTGCAGTGAGTAAGTGGCATCAAGCCCAGATTTTCCAGAGGGCTGAGCTCCCACCTGAGCTCCGGAGAGGGGCCCGGATTTCTCGAGTGCTTCCTCCGCACACGCCGGGTGCGCGCAGGGTCCGGGCCCTTGTGCAATCGCAGCCGGGCTGAGGCAGCCGGAGTGTTTGAAATTCCACCGGCCCGCCCTCCCCGCTGAGAAACAAAAAGGGGAATTGAGCAATTTCAGCAAGTGTTCCTGTGTGCGGAGCTCACGTACTCGCAGGGCGGACCCGGCTGCGGCCTGAGGATGCTGCTGGCTTCACCCAGCAGCCAGGGACCCTCGTGAAACCTGGATGCCACCAGCGCTGACATGAGGCCCCTGGCAGACGCCTGCACCAGATGAGGACCTGGCCAGGGTCCCAGCACCGGGAGAATACGCTTCCCACCCCCGCGACTATCAGACCCAGCCCTCAGATGACAAGAATTTAATTTAAAGGCTCAATCTCTTGTCTGAACAGCTCCCTCCCTCCCCCACTGCGATGGGAGGAAAATCCTCGGCGAGGCACCCGGGCGAGTGGGAAAGCTGCAGCGGGAGCTGTCTCTTGCCCTTTAGCCATCCAGGGAGGAAGAGCTCATCTGAATGAAATGAGGATCAATCAGCGAGAGGCATGGGAAAAGCTGGGAAAAGGAGCCTCCAGTGATGTATATTCATGGGGGGGAACCTCCCCCAGACATGCAGCAGCTTTGATGAAAACCCTCCCAGCTGTGCCGAGCCTTTGAAGTGACACAGCAGAAGCGTATTCACGATTACCCCAGAGATAGAAGCGCAGGAGCTCGCAATCAGCCGAATCCTTATATTTAGGATAGACTTTAATGCTTGCTTTTTATAACTCTTTCCAAAATTAATAAGGATCCTCCTCGCTGCATCCCATCACCCCGGCTCCTTCCCCCTCCGCCCCGACACTCCAGATTAGCTGCAAAGCAGAATCATGTTCCCAAAGGGCAGGGGATGAGCTAGCCTTGGTGTCCTGTGATCCACAGCAGCACTGGGAAGTCTGACCCCTTAGGAAATGCGTGGCCACTAAAAATGTTTCTTTTTTTTTTTCCTTCTTTTTTTTTTTTTTCCCCCCCCCAGCAAAAAGTATAATTCTGAACTCCCTCCTTTGGGTATCAAAGTGTTGTAGCATTTTGTCAGCAATGCATCTCCTACTTCAGCTTTTATCTTTATTTTTATCTTTATTTATTTTATCTTTTCCTCCCTAAACCGGATCTTAGAAAGCTGAGCCCCAAATCTGCACTCTGGTCCTGGACCCAGGCAACATGAGAGCGCCCAGGGAGGCTCGTGCAGGGTCTCAGTGCTGCAAGGACTTGAATCTCAGCACCCACACCCCATGGAAACTTTGGCAGGTTTTTATTGCTGTTTTTTATTTATTTCTCCATTCAGAACCACGGTGGGAAGGTCAGTTCCTGCAGAAAGCTCACCC